AAACTTAATGAAGGAATCTTTTGTTCAAGTGTTCTATGATTTATCCAGAGGTTCAGTCAGAGACCACATGATGAGCTCGGTTAAATAAACCACAAAGTCTTGAGTATATACCAAAAGGTTGGGAAGTATAATACTCTTCATACACTCAATCTTACATTCTCTCATTTATGAGCATGTACCAACAGTTGGATAAATTTGATTCCAGGTGCCATATAGAAGTCGCATCTCTGAAACAAAGGTGCCACAATAACACTGGTTATTTACCAGTGCGTGAACCTGTAAAATAACCTCTCAAAGTGTTTCTTTATCCCAGCTATTTCATTTTACTTTATCTCCAAGACAGAAAGGAGGGATATGTTTAAATTATTATCTTGGTACAGAACAGGAAAGAGCAGAGTTCTGTCCCATGTCATTCCTTTATGCATTCCTTTGCCTTGTAGGAAATGTCACTGCACACAGGCAAGAAGCTTTTGCACCATAATATACAAAAGCATGGCAGTGGTGCCTGACAAACACACTGACCCTGTCCTTTGCTCTCTTCACTGCTTTTTTATTAACAATTCTTATCTACAAATGTTACAGAGTGTCAAATCCTGATTCTAAAAGATAATATAAAACTCAAGCAAGGAGATAGTGATCTATCAATCAATTAGGCTCATGTTAGAACAGAATTAATAATGAGAGTCTGAGACAAAACATTCCCTGAAGACTGATGCTGCATGGAGGAATTAGCCTCCCACCAAGACAAATAATAGACAAGAGGCACTAGTTATTCTGCATGATGCATTGCCCAACATACTTGGACAACTCCTTAGGAACTGCAATAACAAAAACTACCTAAAACAAAGTGTCTCCTTAGTCTACTTCACTCTATCTTAAGGCAAAGATAGGAGAAGCCAACAAAAGTGTGTCTAGGTAAATATAATTTGAGAAACTCAGAAGTGAAATCATAATACCAAGAGGACAGCTAGGTAATTTTCTAAAAAATAAGTGCCTGTTGATGATACAGTAACTATGTCCTCACATCATAGCAATACACTGCTGCTGCTGCAGAGCTAACCACAACTATTTCAGTGTGCTACACGCAACACAAGAAAATTGAAACATAATTTGTAAATAATTTGGGAATCATATGAACAGGCTATCAGAAAACTATTCTGAAAATGCAGTTTTTCTTTATATTATATATATATATACATAAATACTCTCATAACTGTATGTAATTCTTATTCCAGATCCTTTTCTGAATTTCTCCAGTGAAATTTGGATTTTGTGGGTGAATGTATTGACATATGAATAATCAGTAAAGAGATTGAAGTCATAAACTACATATAGTATATAATCCTCCAAGCGTTTTTGCTCTTAGGAAGCCCTCAGCCTAGATCACCTCTTGTGGTAAACCCAAATATCAGAAGCTAAATCAAGTTAGCTAAAACTCAGGGTCTTAGAAAACATGGTGATAATGCTTCAGTGCATAAAAACTTTTTCTTGAAGTTATTCTGAAGCCATATATTAATAGGGAACTACAGGAAAAATGGGAAAATTCCTCTTGTTTCACTGTCATGAAACCTACTGTGAAGTTTTCTGTCTACTTGTCATTACTAACAATCTTACAACAATGCTAATATTATTAATAGCATTAACACATTGCTAACAGGAATCAAATTTTTGGTAACATGCAGTGATATACAGAAGATGAGATAATGATATTACTATGGAAAAGTCCTTAATTCTCTTCATAGTATAAAATTACCTTTTTAATAACCAGGAAAAAAAATTGTCAGGTCCACAGTTTAACTCACTGAAAAGTGATAACACACTTTAGCCTAAATTACACTCCTGCCTTGGATATAGCCAAGACAAACACAGTAATCAGGGATGTTGCATGCAAGAACAAAGTTTCTTTTCTCCCCATCCCTGGGCTTCTGTTTAACTCAATGTTGGAAGGGAAACTTCACCCTTAGTGGCTTTTGCAACTTGTAATATGAGGTGCTATTCCCCATCTTGGAATTTGTTTTATTAACTTAAATCTCAAAATAAGAAAGGCTGAGCACTGAAAATAATGCCATGCCAATTCAAACAGACTCCATGGTAAATTCAGTTTTTCTGATAACATTGTCCATGGTATGATTTATATTGCATTATCAGCATATGCAGTACTTCCTTCTCTGCAGTCAAGCTGACACCCTCCCTAGATAGACAATGAAACACATTCCACACCATGTGGGTGTGATTTATCTATTTCATAACTACAATTGCTCTATTTCTGTATTTCCATGCATTTCAGTGTTAAAATTTCTGTTTCAAAATGACCCAGATAAGTGTTGAAAAAGGATGGAAAAACAAGAAAAAGAAAACATTCTCACAACCACTCATATGAAAATATGCTAACTGAAACTCAAGGAGTCTGTTTTACAGGCAGTTAGCTAAGGGTTCCTGTAGGAAAGCAACAAGGGATAAACTCATGCAGACTTCAATAATTTATTAATTCCTGCTCCTGAATGATTTCAAATTAGGAAGATATGGAATGGCTGCCATCGTGACCCTTTTATTTTTTACAAGACTAATAAAAGAAGCCATACCGAAGACTAAAGGTGAAAACTAAATCAAACAAAAGAAAAGTCTATGAACAAGTTTGCTCAACTTAAAAAAACCCCACAACTATTATTTACTTGAATTTTATACTATTCTTTCTAATTTTGATTAAAAGAATTTCTACATCATCTGATTTCATGACATTTCAGGAATTTAAAGGAAAAGGTCTAGTTTCATCAAATATATCCAGCCACATGTGTGCTTAATAGGTTTGGGAAAAAGAACGTAACTTCCCTGTTCTCTACCCTATTGAATATCCATGGCTGCAGATCACCATGGAAGTTCTGCTCCTTGCAATTCATCCAGTTCTCCTACATAGTAAAGTAAGGTTTATGAGACACCTGACTTTCAACTCTGTGGTCAGATATGGAGGAAAACAATCAACTGCCAAACTTTCTCCAAGTTATGAAACAGGTATACAAAGCAAGACAAGACTAGATCCTGGGGAATTAATATATTATTCAGAGCAATCAGGAGCTATTTTTTCCTCTTATGTTAGTAGTGTACAAGGTGTATTAGGAGGGAATCAAGTTGTTTGATTTAGCAAATTGGCCTATTTCTTTTACTAAAATATTTATATAATCATGAATGAACCAAAAAAATAATTTGTTAATTGAAAACTGTGAGCTACTTAGCTTACCATACTTCTTGTTGAAGAATACTGCCACTATAAGACAAAATGAACAGATGTAATCAACTCTGTTGCAGCTCAGCAATTAAAATATAGGTGCCTATATAGTTTTCTACAAATCCTACACCATAGCATTTATATTCCATGGGCTAAAAAAATATCATTTAGGACTGAGATATTGAAACCTAGTTTACCATATTCCTGTATATTTAAAGGCATGCAATTAGTACACAGAATTACTTACTAGGCATAATTAGATGCTTAAATAATGAAGAAACGGGGAGTTTTCAGTATAATAACCTGCAAGTCTCTGACCCATCTAGACATGTGTTAATCAGTTACATGCAAGTTACGAACAACACAAGGTCCCTGAATCCCTCTTTGCTTTGGTGTGAAGAGATTGTCATCACATGCCTCTTAAAAGCTCACAGAATGATGATACTTGAGGTTTTGAATACAGAATCTAATCTTGTTCTTATAACTCTGGTCAGGGTTCATACTTAAGCCTAATGCTTCTGATTGACCACACTGTTATACAGTAATTACGTAGCTGGAGGCTGCAAATGTTCTTACAATAAATATGGGATATACAAGGAATAATTATAAATATCATAAGATAGTACAAAGATTATAAAAACATTCAGCACAATCTTTGTGCATGTATATAGAAATTACAAATTACATAAGGTCTTAATTTAGATTGGTCTGAGTCTATGCAAACCTATCTGGGTTCATGATATTAAATCACACAGGTGATACATTAATTATTAGCATTCTTCTCTTTTGTACTCATACCAGTTTTAGTTGCATAAGAGTTACAGAACTGTGTATTTTGAGTTCTAAGAGAATACTTTAAGTATTTTTGAAAGATTTTTTTATTTTTAAAATATAGTCAAAGTTTTACAAAGTAACAAACTAAGCAGCAAGAGATCTAAGGGGCTGAGTAGGGTTTTCTGCTTTATGAGCATGACATGTACTACAAGAAGGACATAATGGGGGCCTGAACATAGAGCAAGGAAACCAGAATTTCTGAAGACTATTCCCAGTCTCATTACTTTGCTGTGTGGCTTTAAGAGAGCTCTCAAGTAAGTGATGAAAGAACGAATTATAGATGTTCTGAGTAACAGCTTCAGGTTTGGTTTTACCAAAAGCTTTAGGAACAAAAATCAGCCAGGAAAGAAATTCTGAGATCATTCCATCTATACAGAAGTTAGTGTATATTTGGTTTAGTCATTGCTTTATGGTCATTTTAGTAAGTGTTTACTGTAAAGTATACCTCTAACACTAAAAACTGCCTCAGCACATTTCAGCTCATGTGACTTAAGATCTCTTTGAAAAGAAACCCAAAACCGACCCTCTCCTCCCTCAAAAAAACACAACCAAAACAAAAAATCCAAGACTGCCTTAAGCCTATTGTATCTTTCCTTGAAGTATGGCATTACAATAGTCTCAGCCTCGGGAATTCAGATCCAGTGAAAGAGAAAAAAAGATGCCCAAGTACAGTACATGATCTAAACATCATTTTTCCATCAAGCTATTCTCAGATTTTGCTCTAACAAACCAACTATTCACAGTAACAAAACACAGCAATCTGGGAATGTCATAGAATTGCCCTCTGGTTTGAAAAAACAAACAAGCAAACAACAAACCCAGGAAAAAAAAAAGTTGAAAACAAACTCTTCCCACCAAGCTTCTTTGATTTTTCCAATACACAACATCTCTTTTTCATGTACCTGAATAAAACAGCCAAGGGATTCCATTTGTTTTCACTCACCTCCTGAAACCACCCGTTATGGTAACTAAAGCATCTGGTAGAAAGGTGGATACAGTATTCTTGACAATCAAGGTTACTGCATCTGCTTCTGCCTTAGATACACAGCTAACAAGGTCCTCATAGTAAAGAAACCCTGGAAATCAAAGGCAAAAAGTGCTGATCACTCCATGGAATTATCAAAATCTACACTGCATTATGCAAAGCCCATGTGAATAGCCACCTCTCATCAGGAAGTTAAAGAACATAACTCATACCATGGGCAAGGGAACCCTATCTAATGGCAAGAACTAAGAAATGCTGCATCATGAACCTGAAATTATAGGTTTGTTTTAGAACATGTTGTGGGAAGAAACAAATTTTGATCCAGCATCTTCAGGTTTTCCTTCCTCCCCACCATTCCTGAAATCAGTCTCTGTGATCTCTCTTGGGTGTGAGGGATCACAGGCCAGAGACAGCCTCTTCCTTTCCTCATCTTTCCCTTAGAGTTTATATATATTTTTGTCATTATTTGTCAGGTCATTTGTCAATATAGCAGTCGCAATAATTGCTCCACTTTCTGAGAACCTGAATATTTATAAGTTATTCTGGATTTCCCTACCAGCTCCCATCAATGGGATTTTTGGATGTACTGCTTTAAAAGGCAGCCTTCCCAAAATTAAGGTGTTCTACCCAAGTACAGGGCTCAGAAGTATGTGAAATATCCCACCTATCTTATTTTTGATCACAGAGCTTGTGTTGAAATAGCCCAGCCCTGCTGCTTGTTTCACGTTTGGATATGACACATAAAAGAAAAAAGGACAAAGGAACATCAATGTAGGAAAGTTGATCCAAGGGATTCTGAGGTGATGTAAACCACATGAATGTAATGCAAAAATAAAGTTATGTTATTATAATTTCATGTTATATAATATTTTTTTCTTAGTTTAACTGATTTCTTTGTTTAAATGAGTTCCTTTATTTAGGGAAACAGCACACAAACAAAAAATCTGTGGGGAAGTAACACTGCATGTGATCATGTTTAGCATTTTAAAGCTCAGGTGTGCTAGGATTATGGGAAGAATTTTATAAGTACTTTATTACAAATCTTGATTTATCACTAAGGTAGAGCTGCCTTGACGGAGACAGGTCTCCTCTGAAAAGTAGTTCTGGGCTTTCTCAATTTTGCACAACCTGTGCAATAATGAACCATTAATAGTTTTGTGTATGAGAGATTTCATTTGGTATCTATGCAAGCAATTTAAAAGTATGCATATTCCTATGTTTTGAGTGACACCATTTTTATTAGCAGCTCTATTAATCCAAATATTATTTCTACCTAATAATTCAGTACTCACAAGACCCTGCAGCAAGCAAACAGATATATAAATGACTTTTGTCTCCTCCTGTGATTCTGTTATAAAGTTCTTAGAGCACTGACACAGAAATTTTTGTGACACTTTCACCTTACCTGCTTTCTGCATTTTTGACAGCTTGAGGGTCTTGTCAGCTTTTAACTCTTCCACCGTTCGCAAACCCATTCTGTACCATTTCTCAGATGTCTTCACTCCCACTCCAAAGACTGAAGTAAATTGCTAAGGTCAGTAGAAAAACACACATTTCAGTGTTGTTTTCTAAAGGGGCAGTGAATTAATAATAAGTAGGTAACAATAAGGTTTCACAAGGAAAATAATGGGCAGAGTTAATCCTACATTGAAGATATATAATAGTGTAATGCAAACATACAGATTCAGCTTCCCTTCTTTGCATAGCTACATCGAACGGAGAACTGGTTTTACACATGGGCAATTCTCATTAAAGTGAAATCTAAACAAGAATATAGTAGTAGTCCCACACCTTTATGTAATTTACCTAGATGTACACTTTTAACTAAGGTTTGAAATAAGATTAGTATTTATTTCTACTCCATTTCTTAACAGAAATGCAAACAGTAACATTAAGTAGCTGTATTCCCCTACAGTCCCTTCATAGAATAAGAGGCGTCACAAGACCATTCATAATTTGACTGACATTATGATTTTGTTTTATATACACTACCAGCTCTCAGTTGTACAGATGATGTTGGTGTTGTAGCACTACTGAGAGATGGGGTCAGTGGGAAGGAACCCTGGCGATCCTGAAATTCTGCACTGAGGACTATTGGGTCTCAGTGCTACATGGAGAAAGATCATAAGAACATAAAGACAACTAATCTATTCTTGCCCCATCCTTGGAAGTGTTCAAGGCCAGGTTCAGTGGGGCTCTGAGCTACCTGGCCTAGTAAAAGGTGTCCCCGTCCGTGGTAGGGGGGTTGGAATGAGATGATCTTTCAGGTCCCTTCCAGCCCAAACCATTCTATAATTCTTATACTCCATTCTATAAGACATATGTTGAAGGTCACTAACAATATTGTTTTCCAAAATGGGATTCCATCTCAAGTAAAAACTGTAACTTTTGTTTTCTTGCATATTGCAAACAGCCTTATGATTTTCAGTCTTCACATGAGTCAAGCGAAATTCCTATACATCTCATAATCTTATTTGGAGTACATATTTTACTATTTTGCCTATTGGGAAAAAGAAAAAAAAAAAAAAACCAAAACAAAAATGCCCAAATCTACCATTCTCTGAAGTTTCTGTGTGGTTGTATTCCATTTATTCCAAAGTAATTTTGTACACTAAATTATTCCCCACAAAAGGATGTAAAGCAAAAATGTCACAGTTGTAAGCATTATTCAGTGGATCAATATCGCGGATGAACAATAAATAGCGATATAAAAGCAAGAGGGAAAACTTTCATGCTTGCCTGAAAGCACATTTTTTATGTTCAGTTTGTCAATACTGAAGCTCTCCATAGTTTCTTTGTACATTTATGGAATTCAATGATTTGCTGTGTAAGACACAAATAACTGCTGTTTTCCATTGAATCTATAACCTCTGAATTTCAACCATGCTAGCTTTATTTTGTGTTTTTCTAAAGAAATTAATTCATTGGAAATAATTAAGATAAAGCAAAGAGAAAAATTAAAATCATGGATAATATTAAATAGGAATAACTCTACAATTGATATATAATGGATGAAACTACCTCTTCTTTGTCTGAATCATGGGTGTTTATGAAAGAATGTGCTTTTTTTAAATACTTACATTGCTATCTTTTAATGTTTTTGCTGGTGCTAAAAGATTTTCAAAAGGGTCTATTACTGGGTTTTAAATGATTCTAAGAGACTTAATTAATGTTGGGACAGAGAACTAAAGAAAATGGATTCTGCGCCACTGTTCAAATTTTTAGGAAAAAAAACAACACTGCATTTTTTTCTTTCCATACAAAGATCCATTATTATTTGGTATATTTATAGATGTCAATTGAGAGATGCTGCCAGCAGTGCAGCACAAGTAGCCAGTTGCCTGTTTTTTGATTGTGTTTACAGCCAGTGGTTTTTTTCAGCTCGTGAAATAAATTACATGAACTCATTTTCTGGAGCATCCACTTCTATAAGGAGCCAAACTGACCATGTCAATTCAAGGATCATATATCTAAAACATAGACTATAATTTAATTCAGTCATTTGATAACTATGGTCCTGGGGCCAGCAGTGACCTTTTAAGTCCTGATGAGTGATGCAGCAGTCACCACGACCATGCTAAACAGTAAAATCTAGGAATTCACTAATATGGGATTCTTCTTGGCTTTCTTAGAAACTCATAAAAATTGATGGAAACAACCAGTTACAACCAATTTAACCAAAATGTCAAGACATGTGTTTGGCCAATAAGTTTGTTGCAATTTTGCATATGAAACAACACATAGAGAGTATTTGAGACAATTTTTCCCCTGATAGGTTTTATTCTAATCTCCAAGATACTTTCTTAAACCCCCAAAATATCAGATTTAATGGCTGATCCTCAATCATGCAATAGTGCAATCATGAATTAATAAGCAAGTCTGGTTTGTGAATCCTGCCATGTGAATCTACACCTCTTTTCTGAATATTGCTAGGGATACATTAGCAACTTTCACTGGACATCAGTTCATATGTGTATCACAGGTCAGAGAGAATGGAAGAGCCTTTTGATAGCTGAAGTAAAAGTGAGTAATGCAAGGGAGAATGAAACAGTCACACTTGATTTACTCTGTTTTAATTTTTTCTGAAGACAGAAACAGTATATTTATAGAGACTAAAACTGCAGATAAAATTGAAAAATATATTTGTTCATATATATATACATATAGTTTATATATTTCCAATGGAGAATTCAATGAACATTTCAGAAATGGGAACTGCAATATTTACGTGGTTTAGATTCCCTGCAGCTGTGAAGTAGCGTGACTATGACTCTACAACCTGCCTAACAAAGAAATATCTCCAGTCCTCTTCCTTCTGCCTCACACCAAAGAGAATTATAATGGATTTGAATCATCTTTTTCACCTGCTTTTTTTCTTAATGCGAGAATAAGATGGTGTAGCATCAAAATGATAATCAACTGAGGCAGAAATAAACCCAACATTCAATTAAACTTACAGCAAAGAGTATGCATTACATTAGTTCTCAGGAAAAAGGGATTGTTTAGTTCAAGCTTAAGAGCAACTACATATGCATCACATTAATTAAAAATAGAAAATGATTCACCATCATTCTTTATCAGTTCCTCAATCTCCTTTTTATTTAAGACCATTCTTTCTTTGCACTTGATATCAGTTGTTCCTTTATAATAAAATCAATGGTTATGTCTAAGTTCTACTACAGGGAGGGAAATTTTAAACTACAGCAGCAAAACTCAAAGGATTTACCTTAAATGCCTTGTATCGCTCATCATTTAACACTTCTTTAACTCTAGAACTCTCTCCTTCTTCAATAATCTCCTAAACAAGAAAAATGTTACTTATAAAAATAAATTTAAAAAACAATTGTAAAATCTCACCCCAGTGATAAGATTTAGACAAATAATCTAAAATAAAATTTTATCAATCTGTACAAACATGAAAAGAATCCTTAGCAAACGTATTGTTTTACTGCATCAGGATCAAATTCTGGAATCTTTTTAAAGACAGAAAATTACTGAAGAATAAAGGAGAAACTGGAACCACAGAATAAATTTCACAGTACTTATTTACTCATAAATTTACTCAAGAATGAAGTAGAAATTGAGACCATGGAATACATTTCACAGTACTTATTTACTCATAAATTCACAGCCAGAAAGTAGTTATTTATCATAAACTACCAATGACTTGTCCTGAAAATTAGATTTCATTATTTGGTTTAGTTTACTTCTCCTAAAAGTAAAAGCATTGTAAGAACAAATATATTTTTTCTTGAGTGTACAGTTCTTCTAGTCTTTCTAATAAAAACTAAAACCAAAACAAACATAAAACCCCATCAATATAACCCAAATAAATCACTCTATTTTCTGTGGGATCATAACTGAATTCCCAGCTCCCAGGTAGTAGGTACAAAAAGCACTTCAGAGGCTACATTCTTAACTGATGGAATGAGGCAAACAAGGAGCATAACACTCAGCAATGACCCCTCCAGACAGCTGAGACCCTCTCATCAGCTGCCTGCTGGAATAACAGCACCTAAGATGTAGGGTCCTGAAAAGGCTAGGAAGTAGAGAAAAATGTAGGGAATACTCAAAGTTCCAAGAAGAATGCAAAGTTCATCCATCACTTGGGTAAAAGGCTCTGCTACAACTATATATAACTGGCTATAGCAAGGTAGGATTTAACATTGAAGTACTAAAATATTTAGCAGTTTTGCAAAAATAGTATTTCTAATAAAGCATTCAGGTGAGCAAAGGGGAGTAGTCACATGAGCAAAACTATTAACAGTTAACCTGTTGCATCCAAATCAGTGTAAGCCTTTAAAAATTACATGCAAAGTTGATACTGCACTATTTAACACTTTGTATTTACTCACTAGTTACCATTATTCCTAAGGGTGGGGATTCCATGGCAGAACGTCATGTTACTACAAAGGATTTCCAGAAATCATTCCATTCTTACTAACAAGGAAAATATATCCTTATTACAGGAAATACAGAAGGCTGTGTACATGCACACAGATACCAATGCTGATCTCTGTGACCTCTAAATGTAGATCTGTAAAAGAATCAACTGACAGATAATTCAGAAGTACATTACCTCAATGACATCTCTGACTTGGTCTCCTATGCAGGGCAATCCTTGTATATCTTTCATTCTGGTTACTGGAAATGGAAGATATTTCAGCAAAGAAGCTGCTCTCAGAAATTCCAGGCAGAATATTTCATTTTCTTTGAACTCATAATTTTCAGCCATTATCTCAAAGGCATCCTGGGGTGGGGGGAGGTATAGAAAGAAAAATTAAAGTTTAATAAAAGCTTAAAATATTCAGTATACTCCTTAGAAATGTTACTTTGTATTCTAATTCAAGAATTACTTCTTTACTCTAACATGAAAAGAGAAAGTTCATCTAAAAAATAAAAAAACAGCCTAATTTTCTAACCACTTGAAGTTTTCCAGGAATCATAAAATTTCATTTTAGAAACAAATGTATGAAAATATTTTGATCCGTAACAAATTTGAAAATCTTTTGTGAGATGTGCTTTCTTTATTTTGTGCAGATCTTATTAAATCAAGGTGAAATAGAGCCATAATTTTTAGAATTATGCTCAACCATTAATAATCCAGCAGGCCAGTATGTGACATCTGCACTTTCAGACACAACCAAATAGGAGTCTGTGGCAACACTGGAAACCACCACCTTCTTTTTGAACATGTAGCCATGCTTCTATTTAGTAATTTAGGAAACAAACAGACGTTTTCCTCATGTATAACCCATGAAACACATTTTCTTTATGGTTCTTCAGCTGTCCAAGGTTTGGTTTATTTGACATTGCACTCAAAAATACCTAGAGAATGTCCATATAAATTTTTTATTTTAAACTATCCATATGCAATTTATGCAGCTTTGAGGTCTATCTCCCTCCTTATATATATAAACATATCTCCATCTATCTAACTTGATAGCAGCAATTTTTAGAAATGAAATGCAGGGAACAGACTGCACAGTGGTGTAGAGGCATTTTTTTGTTGTTGTTTCCCCTTATAGGATACAAGGTTTTGAGAGAGAACAAATGCTGCAAAATAAGTTTGTGAATAACCTAAGAACTTACAAAGGTTTGTAGCTGATTAGCAGCCAGAAATCCAAGTTCTTAGTGAAACCTTTCACAAACATCAAAAATTTTCAAGACTGCAAAATTAAGCAGTTTCTTCAGAAACGTTTAAAAATGTATAGTTTCCAGAGGAGACTTTCACTGTTCAGAATCTTTACCTAAAATGTATCCCACACTTGGCCATTCAGGATGCTCCTGTGCATGATTCAAATGGCCCAGGGCAGGCTAAGAACAGCCCAGGAACCAGCCTTGCAAAGCGCCCGCACTGCACTGTGTCCTGCCCTCCTGCCAGAGACCCCACTTCCTACTCTTCAGGCAGGTTCTCAAGAGCAGCTGGCAAATCCCAGCCTTGTGTTCCACTGCATCAGTTGGCTGCATATCCTTCCTGTTTTCCACCTTACTCTTGTTTGCTCTTTGACCCACAAGGCATTACAAAAAAAAAAACCCAAAGAAGTGGCTGTCAGTTTGTATCTGCCTGCAATTACCACTTCACGGAGTTAGAGCCCAAGTGCCTGTTCAGAAATGTTTTGGAATGAGTAACACCCTGTGATACAGATAGTGAGAGACAGTAAATGGCTTTCCAGAGCAATGACTACAGTGGATAGTAGGAAAGAGTAAGATTAAAATTCTTTTTCCTGCCCTCAGTGTTTATGGGATCACTGTTCACGTTTAGCCTCAAATTTCATTTAATTTGTATAAAGCAAAATGATTCTAGATTTTGCTTTGATTTTTATCTTAGCATTACTGTGCTTTACATTCAAAGATAAAGCCAAGTAAAAACCAGCAAGCCTTGTACATCCTAAATGCTACATGTGTAATATCTCCAGGTGAGTCTGTCTCCAGCCCACTAACTGATGTGACAGCAAATCCAGTGAAGTCAACTCTTTATTACATATGTAGAATAGAGAATGGCATCTGTCACCGTGCATTGAAGGAATACTGCCTGATTTAAACCACAACAAGATTTTACTTTAGCTACCATCATTTACATTGTTAAAACAGAACAACTTCAAATTAAATGTACCTTTCACATATTACATTTCATTGTTTGGTCAGTTCTAGAAAAAACAGACCATCTGACATGATGGGTTGTTTAGATTACAAACATTATAGTCTCATTGAAGCAAAATGAAAGTTTTGCTCAAAATCTTCAAGAAAACATTGTCTTTACTGACCCTAGGATTTGCAAAACTTCCCTCTCAACAAAAAAAAAATATGAGATCTTAATGGGTTTGACAGTATCTCTCTAGAAGAAATAGGTACCTTAGCTGAACAAAACCACTTTCCTTGTATTTATCTGCACTAATGTGTTAAAGTGTATAAAAATAATCAGGGCTTGCTGCAGATAATTTGCTTTATTCTACATCACCAGCATAACTTCGCTTCTTGATCTAAGAATCAGAAACCTGTTGTCTGTTGCACTGGAATAATCCTCCCTTTAGCTGCATATTTATTTATCAGCTACTCTGATCAGTAAGGGCTGTGCAATTCTGTTTTCATAACATTTCATGAAAGACTTCATGAGAAAGACAGTTGTTTAGCAACATGCTTGATCTGGAGGTTTTGACTACCATTTACAGTCAACTAGCCCTTGGGTACAGGGTATCAAAGGGAAAGGAGAGAGTCCTCCTTTGGGGGGGGGGGGAACCACAAAACCCAAAAAAACCCAACAAACCAAAAAATCACCAAACCAATCTATTAGAAAAATAATGCACAAACCTTAGCTTCTTAACAGCTGTGTTTAAGCTCTTACAGTGGCTAATTGTTGGATTTATTCAACTGCTATTCTTTTTTACACATTTAAGATCTTTATTTATGTTGTATGCAACTACATACTTTTTGGTAAAAGACAGGTGCACATTATAGTTTCCATTTAGAAAGAGAACTAATGCAGGAAAAGGTGAAACTACCAATTTGAGGTCATGAGCAATAAGGATTCATCCTAGTTTGTACATGGAAGAAAAAACACAGCATTGAGAGTACTGCAAAGGAAATGGGAAAATATATTTTATAAGTGGGGTGACAGGAGTCAGATGTTTCCTCTGCTATGGGGTTTTTTGGATCTTCTCCCAAGTTGTTACTATTTTTATTCTTTATCAGCTTCAAAAATTCTTTCCTACTATGGCGTAGAAGATGCTAATTCTTGCTTCAAGTGAGATTTACTGTTCCACTCACAAAATTACGATTACTTTTGCTTTCTTTTTCTCTCTTTATAATCTGTGCACATAAATACTCAAGAAAGCAGTGTTTGGCAAGAGATTTCCTACTCCTGTTAGCACTAACAGCATTAATCAGAGGCAGAACTAAAAAGACAGATTTGCTACCTTCTTGTTAAAATAGTCTATACTGATAAACATTGTCAGAAAATAGTTCTCAAAAGTAGCTGCTCAGCAGTATGTATTAATGACAGAGACTGGCAAAGTCTGCTCTTGATTAGGATGCTCAAAAAGTCTGGGGATGTTTTTTTCTCACTCCCTGCAGGCAGCCTCTCACATGCACATCTAAATAGTTGTATTCTACACTGAATAATCAGCCATCGTGATAAATGTGCCTGCATATACCAGCACCACTACTGCTTTAGAGAGTGATAGTCCCTTTCTACTAGCAGGAGGGCAGTTTTCAGAAAAGCTGTGTCACCATCACTACTGAAAAAGACAATCTCGTGTAGCATTTTACTCAGAGGCTGTTGACAGTCAATGAGAAAATACAATCAAAGCATTTTTTATGATTCTAGTTTGCATTTTTCAGTGTTTTCCTGCCTTTGTGAAGCTCATTAAGCTCCTTAAAATAAACAATTAAAGATTATTGAATATTCATTATTCCCTGTACAAAAAAAACCCATTGCCTGCAAATGCTGCAACTAATTACAGATCTGTCTTTTTACATAAAACTGCTTCTGACATTCTTTTTGACCAAGTTTTATTTTATTTTTTTTAAGAATGATATAGTTCACAATGAACAATATTCCAGAGGGAAAAGCCTATAAAACTCTTATATTAGCTGAGAAAAATCTTTGCAATCTAGTAGATCTCTGGTGAAGTCTACGTATGGTGACATAAAAAGGAAAGATTACTGACCCCTCCTTTATTCTAAACCTACATATTTCTTACATTAAGCACCTTGCCATTGCTTTATCAATCAGATTAACATTCAGATTTCCTGTTTAAAAGTACCAGTTAAAAGGAAACTAAATTTCTAGACATTTCCAGGACACGGGATTTTCATAATCTTCAGGGTATTCTGCAGGGTCTGCTCTAATTAAATGTGATAGTTGGGCTATATTTTAGTTCTTCAGTTATTGCAAATTTTACTTCTGTGTCTGAAATTGTGGAATGTATGTTTGTGAGACTTGGACTATGGAAAAATCTGGGGGTTAAAAGGACCTCCAGATTCTGGTGGGTCAGATCCAAAAGTACACAAAGATTTTGTTGAGTAGTGTTAAAAATAAGGAAGGTGATAGATGTAGAAACTTTGGAAAGCTGCTTCACACCTCCCTGCCATTGCTTCTGTTATCTTTCATTCACTGCCTATTAGAACTGTGAACACTCCAGGGCTTGAACTGTCTTTTACAAAGTGCTTGTACAGCATCTCTTAGAAAAAAAGCTCCTATTTCACTTGAGCCTGTAAACACTACTGCAGCACAAATTAAAAAATATGAACATCCCATTGTACAGGTAAATTTAATTCACCAAAGAGCTAAATGGCAAAGTGGGATTAAAAAAATTAAAAATCCTACATGACACTTGTTTGAAAAACTATTATTCTCTGAAAGCAATTTGAGTTAAATTGCTTTCCCTCTCACTAATGGTTTTCTACTTGAAGTTTATTTAGTAAATTATAAATCCAAAGGATGGGTCCTAGTTCTCATAACATCAGTGTCACCAGTGTTTGATGCCCATTCAAAACTGATCAAAGTTTTAGAATGCCTCTTTCATTCAAATAATTTTCTTCTCTCTTTCCCCAGTGTAAATCCTTACTTGTGTTTCAGTGGGAAGATATAAATGCCACGTGAACACTTTTTGGATAGACCAAGAGAGAAAATAAATACTTTCAGGTGCTTATTTCAAGAAGAATTAAACAATTTGAGCCAACCTGTAGCATTGACTTAAGTGACCTCCAACCAAATGAAATTATTCATTTTTTGTTCAGTCTGATTTTTTTTTATCTGAACTGAAAAGCCCAATACTTGCGCAGATGCAAAGATTTTAACATGTTATCTTACACAGCCGGAGAAACAAAGAAGTTGAGAGAATAATGTAATAGCATAATGTGCATGATCTCGGGGTCCTTGCATTATCAGAAATAATTATGTTAGCTTCAGCTGCTCCTCCTATTAACCAATAATATAAGGTTCATTCCTTAAAACAGAGTGGAACTCATGAGAAGTTTCCATATTTTTCCACATAATGTAAAAGAAAGCAATACAATTGTGAAAAAAGGTCTGCTGACACAGCACAAAAATGCAGTTAGTTAATCACATAACTGCCCTAGATGAAAAACAGTGTGATAAGAAATATAAAATACAAAATGTCTATTACACATATACACAAATCCAAGAAAGCAGCATAGACTTGACACATACATAAAAATTTGGGTTGCTGAAAGGTACAGCTGTATTTATACTCTGTATTTTAGGGAGCACACTCCCACTTACCTCAAAAATCAGAAGAGAAATTTACTCCTAAAACCAAACCATCAGTTAATTTTGAATAGGTATATACTTTGTATACATTTACAAAATTTGCAGTTTTGAGGTGCAGTCTGGAGAATTTTTACTGAAGTAAACTACGTCAGTAAGACACTATATGTTATTAAAAGTATCCAGTTAGTGGTTTTCTACTGTACAGCTCCCAAGTTCATTATAAAACTAACGTTGAGGTTCTTCTGAGGTCTATTTTAAAATGGAATAATAATAATTGCTTGAGCCACTGGCATAACTGATACATGTTTCTGTAGATAGGAAAGAAAAAAAACTGTAAAGGAATATTTTTTGTCTGACAGAGTAGAAAAGAAGCCAGGCGTCTTTCCCATGCTAAACATCCACATTCTCATTACCGTGAGTAACAGCCAAAGCAAAGTAACATTCAGCAGCATTAGCAATAAGCCTCAGAATCACAGAACCATTTGCCTCTGACTTAATTAGTTTCTTCTGTAAGAATTAAATTGTATTTTCCTCACAAAGAATGTCTTTCTGAATTTTATTGCAGTCTGGTATTAATATTCAAATCCAGCAACCCCTCTCAGGCACAGTAGAATGACTCCTTTCATTTTAGCACAAGAAAACACAATGCAGCCCCCAAGTGCAAATTTTCAGTGGGAGAGGGAGGCTAGCTCCAAATGAGCCAGAGAATAATATTGTAATATTATATTCCATAATAACATTAATGTTTAAGACAAACATAAAGGAAACATGCTAAGGTACAGACTCCACTGAAAGGATTTGCTCTTTTGTTTTGCAGCTTTACCCATCTGAACAGCTACATTCACCTATGGAGCCAGGTTTATGCATTCAGGTGCACTCCTGGAACACCCAAATCAATAAAGCCTGTGGCAGTGGTTCTCATCCTACACACCATGAGGCCACAGTACATGATGCACAGTGACCCAAAGACGGCACAAAGCCCAAGTCTGAAGCAGCTGACACACAATGCCACTGTCTCCTCCTTGGCACACAGTTTGACATACTTACTCTGTTCCTCACACAACAAGCCTTATCACTCAACAGCTCATAAAAAATAATCTGGCTAGAATTTGCCCCATACTGAACATAAAAACGAAATCTTGACACCTCCACAGTTTTTGCCACCCCTTCTGTAACTTCTGCCATGGTATAAAACTAGTTTGTTGCAACTTTCTGCAAGTTATTTTCTGGCTATTACAACAGAAAGGAAACATGAGACAGTTGAACACAGACATTGCATCTAGAGTATTAATCCACCACATTTTCCTCACGAGCTCTCACCAAATCTCTGCTATTTTGTTTTAATAAGTGGTCTTTCATGGGGAAATATATGCAGGACTCCAGACTAAAATTATCACAAATTATCAATTTCTACAGAAATCAAGTCCCCAGAAGTGCCTCTTCCAAGAAATAAGCCCATCCAAATCCTTGTATGCATGTCATTGCCTATTAGTGACTGTTCCAATGTAACAACTCAAACTCAATGTAACTTTCTCAAACACAACTACTACTTATTAGAGAGAGGAATTTGATACAGCATATCAGGGCAAAGCCTAGCAAAAGGAAGAATCTAAGAGCTCATCCAAGAATGCATAAGCAAATAATAGCTTTGTACCTCAAGATCAGAAAGCAATTTTGTCAAGCTAACAAAAGAAAACAGAAAATCCGTAAGAAAAGGGAACAACCCTGGCTCATGAAATAAAGTTGTTATAATAAAATACTACCATCAACGCATAACTCAAGATAGTTTGGACCTAATTTTCAGGATGTATGGTATCGAGCCAGGGAAAATCTGTCATTTAATGGTTGGCTGCCCACAGCATGCACAAGTGAATTATGCCAATGCTTCAGTGCATTTGCTAAGTGCTTGCACTGAAAATCTGTTGGAACACTTTTATTTGAGAACGTGAATTACAAGTTTAATAGAAGACCAACAAAACAACAGCAAATCTAAAAGTCAGGCTCCTGTGACATTAGGCAGACTAACTGGCAGGCCTGCAGGGAATGGGCCAGCACTGGTAGTCCATAAACACCCAAGTCCTTTAGCTGTCATTGCAAGCTTTGATTGTGAGGGACAAGAGCAACAGCCCTAAGGATTTCCATTACAACTCTCAAGATGCAGATGTTAGGCAGACTCACAGGCATTATCAAGTTGCACCTCTAGAAATAAAATACAGCATGAACTCAGCATGCTGTCAAAGTACGAAGATGAAAAACTGACACCTTTATTGCTACAAAACCTAATTTCTACCCAGAAATGTTTGATATATAGGACAACAGAAGGGAGTCTCAGTGCTCCAATCATCAAACAGCCCTGCTTCTAATGTGTTCACCTAAATTAATTTATCAAATCCAAGTTGTACTCTGACATTAAGACTGCTGCAATGATAAACCTAGAAGTAATTTAGGGATTGCCTCTGTGAAACACACGTATAACAGAAACCACTCAAAATGCATGTGCTCAAAATGTTAATGATAATTAAAAATCAACAACAACTTTGTGAGTTCTAGGGCAATCATTTTACTTTGCCATTATCCATCCTAATTACTTTTAATTTTTTTACCTTCAGAATGTCTGACAAAATGTTATAATACAGAAAATTCAATAAAGAGCCAGACTCCCACATTCCACCATTTTCAGGAACTGTAGAACTAAGACACTTAATTCCTTTTTCTCCAAGAAGGCTAGTACTTTACATCATCTTTCAGTCATACAATGTTTGCTCTGACATTTTCCCCCACAGAAGCTTGTATTTGATCTTTGTAAACAGTGAAAAAGAATGACTGCTTTGAAGAGGTTAAATGGTAACATTCACAACCTTGTTTTTCTAACAGGAGGTGGGGCACAATCGCTGTTCAAAAGAAGGAGTTTGGGGAATGCTAGAATCACTGGGGTTGGAAGGGACCTCAAGAGGTCTCTAGTCCAACCTCAGGCTCAAAAACTCGATCATGTTGCTCAAAAAGGGACTTTTATTAAATAATTAAATAGTTTAACATATTTGAGTACCATAAACAGTACTATAGAATTGATATAATTGATGATTATTTCAAAGCATCGCTACAAGGCAAATTTTAAGTTGTTTAATTTTTAACTGTGCATTCTCAGGTAATTTTGGAGTTGCTTGTAGGTTTATCTTTAGTTCTGAATTCTCAGAGGTTTTAGTATTTACCTTGTAAATGTTTTTTATTCACGAATAACTGGTATCCATTGCTATTCTTTTCATATGGATCTTACAAATAATATTTACTTGAAAGATTTGTGTGTACTTATAGTCAGATACAAGGCAGAATCATAACAATTATAAATAATAACAAAATAAATAATAAAGCTTTAGAAAAAATGAGGAAGTATTTATTGTTATAATCAAAACACATGCATACAAATATGCCAGATATATTCAGACTACACTACATTAGAGACTCTGACAAATGTTTTCTATTGCATAGTGGTCACTGAGTACCTGGAGCCAGCCAAGAGGAGACATTAGGCACAATAAAACTTAAGTGGAATTTACACCAGAGGACTCAGGCTCTTCGTACCCGCTGAAATGTGTAATGTTATGAGCATTAACCAGGATATAAGGCAGTCTCCAAGATTTTTATTTAACTAGACAATTCAAGGGGGGGGGGGGCTGTCATGTTAAAGTAATTAATATGCAATCTGTTTTCATAACTACAGAACTGAAAATCTAAAATTTAGAATCATACTTTGAAGCAAACACCTGAGCAAACTGGAAGACAGCATAGCAATTGTGAAGTACCCTGGACTGACCTAAACCAAGCTTTTGCTTATCGTCACTTTTAACTTGTCAAATAAGACTGTGATGAAAGGTTAAAAGACAGACATTTTCAGATTATTGTTCTATCATTTATTTTAAAAATTCATGTGTTTACAAGCTATTAGTGTATTTAAAGATCCACTGTGTTAAGCTTTCAGAAATACTTAGAGGATGCAATTAAGCTTGCACTCAATTTTAATTTAAGAATGGCAGATTTATAACTTTTTTTAATTGTTATTGTGCTGCCTGTTTACTAACAAATTTGCTGAGGGCATCATAGAAAATACTGATGCAAGTGCTATATTAATTATTTTACTTATACTAGTTTTTATTTCATGGATGGAATTAGTATTACCGTGAATTTCTTGTTGTAGTTATTTAAAGTCGTCTTCCTCTGGCATGAATACTGAGATACTTTCCTTGCAATACATGATGGCACTTCTGATTCAGGAGTATTCAAAGGAGATTGACATTGCTCCTAAAAAGAAAAAAAAAAAAAAGAAGGATTGGTGGCACACCTGTCAAATAGCTTAAAAATACAAAAAATACATTTCATGGGCCCAAAATATGTACTTTTAAAGAGAAGGCAAGAGAATAGTAATGATCCTACTATCCTCCTAGGAAAAACATTTGATTTTACATTGCCTGCACTGACAGTACCAGTTTATCTGGTGGTTATTAGGATTTTTGATTTTCTGCAGTAAGTTCTTACAGAGAGTTTTCAATCACACTGCCGTTTAAAAAAAAAGTCCATCTAAATGGTGCATGTCTCTACTACTCCTACTGTTGCAGTAGGATTGAAAAACTACAAAGTTTTAGGAGCAGATAAGCTCAAAAGAACAGAATATTTTCCTAGAAAACATTAGGTTATTCAATATAAGATTAGGAATATTAGATCAAAGAGAAAAAAAATTAAAAAAAGATAAATTCTCAAATAACTGACTTTTTCAATCTGTAGCTAAATTCAGTGGTGGAGGAAAAATGTTTGTATGACTTGAAAATAGGGTTTTCTCCCCTCTTGCAGGTAAAACGATAGAAAACCTTTTTATTTGGATTTAATTCGCTAAGATAAGTGTTCTATTTTGGGGTCATTTTAGAGTGAAGGAAACATTTACAAACAGCTACAGAAGAGTAATGTCCATCCTTTTCTCATTCAACAGACAGTGTTCACTTTGCAATGTGGTTTTTCACTCAGTCAATTCCCATACATGCTGATCCAATTCAGACATCATTTTCAGATGTTCACTGAATCAAGGAAAAGGAGCCAGATGCCAAATCTCTAATGGGCATTACCTAATCACCAGGCAATCCACCTCTGAAGGATGGAAAGGGAATTCTCCTGAAAGACAGGATACAGAGACACATTCCCACTGGCAAAAGAGTCCTGAGCATGAGTCCTCAATATGTGAGTGTCCTGACCAGTGAGGACCAGGAAAAAGACAATTTTGCACTGATTCTTCTGCTGCTTTATATACCCAACTCCTTTGCTTTCATTAAATGTGCCAAATCTGAAATACTTCAGAAACACATGGTGTCCTCAGCATTTCTGTACATTTTTTGCTATTTGTCATTTTGTCTGAAAACTTTGGGCAGATCTGTCAAAAAGATATTGCAGTGCATTATCCAAAGCCACAGGGAAAACAACAACAATAAAAAAAAAATCACAAAGACACATAGAAGAAATTTTTGCCCCAACAATGGTATGATGAGCCCTTTCTCCCCTGTATTCAAAGACAGACAAAAGGCTAGCAAACCTATAAACATGTGCCTTCACAACCACACCCCCCCTCCACATAATTTCATGCTAAATTGCCTTTGTATTTGATACAGAGTAGTTAAATATCAGCATTCACACACACACAAAATGCATTGCACAACTGAAGGAGCAGTGAATTATATGGTAGTTTTTGTAATATACAATGAAAGGAAGAAAGCCATTTTAGGTGTAAGACCACTCTTGGGAATAACCAAAATGGGTTTCAGTCAGGATCAACAACACAACTCATCCACTTTTGCACGCTTTCATGAATTATATTTTTCAATTGATTTTAAATCACATAAACTATGATTGATGAGTGCTAATATACTGCTTGAAAATATAGTGTCAGCTGCAAAGACAGTGAACAAACAGAATGTTACTGAATAGAATATATAACAAGCTGTTGTCTTCATTAGGACACAGACACACAAAGCACAGAGCCCTACATGCAGCATTACCTGACATTGTGGATGAAAGCAAAATTAATGCAGAAAATTTATGCATTTAAGAGGGTGATAGACTGAGCATAAACATCCTCCTCCTGCCTTGGCAAAGTTATTTTAGCATTTTTTTTAATCAGTAAGAGTTTTGTGTTTAACTAGAGGGACTCGATTATATATAACAACAGAAGAAACTTTGGAGAGAAAACAGCAAAAACATCTATCAAACAGTAAGTACTATAGTCTGATTTTTAGGGAATATTATGATGCCTGCATGAGAACTATAGAGATGATCTATCAGCAGTAGAACATGAGCAGGATTGATATTGCTTATTGGTGGGAAAACCAGATGGGAAAAAATTGTTTGTACAGATTATGGGACAAACCTAAAGTTCCATCAATAGCAGTTACAGTGTAGAACAGTGTGGGGAATCCTGGAAACTCACTACATCAAAAACAATTTCTAGTACTGAGAAGAAACAACTACAGCAATGAGAAAAATATAAGCATTAAAATTCCTTCTTCTTTTTATTTTTTTTTCAGATTACTACATGAAAATGAAATTATGGTACACTGCACAGGGGCAACCACTGAAAAATTTCCAAATGTGGGCTACTTAATCACTAGAGCTAGTCCAAGTTTGTACCCCATATCCAGGCTGCAGTAATGGTGAATGTCACTTGCTACTCCTTCACAGTGACATTTTACACATGGTATAAGCAGAAAAATCAGTCTGTACCACTAACATCAGTTTGTACAGCAGAGAGGCTTCATTACAGAATTAATCTTGTGGAGGACTACTTTGCCCTTTGTCAAATTATTTTTTTAACACACAAAGAAGTATAATGACACAGGGAAATAACAGAGAGAAAATGAAGCAGCAGTGAATAAGGTGCACAGATACAACCAGCTAGCAGCTTTGTAAAGTCCAGACAGCATTAATCAAATAATAAAGTCCACTGATACCCAGCATTTTACAAAGAGGTGGCAGCCAGTTTATAAGTTTCATTTTATTTTCTGGGAAACTCCGACTGACAGTATGAAGAATCTCTTCAATTAGTTGCAGCCTCTCTCTTTCAGAAGAAAACAGAGTGAAAGGCCTCAGAAAATGTTAAATATGGGTTGCCTGACACACGATAAGGCAAGGGATCAAAAGATGGCACTTCCTTTTCCTAATGTGGAGGAAAATCCTTTGTTCAAAGAAATAAGTCTCTTTTGCTTTCTAGGAGAAAAAAAAACCAAAACAAAAAACCAAACCAAACAAACAAAAAAAACAACCAAAACAACAACAACAAAAGAAAAACAACAAACAAAAAAACCCAACCAAAACCACAAACAAACTAAATAACTACGAACTTTTGGGTTCTAACTGAGGAAAAGGCAGAAAAGATGGAGTCACAGCACAGTTCTTAGGGCTGCTGAATATGCCAAGCCCATTATGGTTCTCTTCCTTTCTTTTTGTCCCTCTGAAAGCTTCCCCTTTGCCTCTTTCTTTTCCATTACCCAGGAAACAGCCGTATTTCTAGCACGTGGGGATGCCCTTGCATACATGTCAGTGTCCACGTCCTGCTATTGTCAAGAAGACCCATCTGCTTGTGGTGCTAAAGGTGCCTCTGGACAAAGACGTACATTTGCCAGAGAAATATTTTGAATTCCCTTTAAAGTGGATGTTCAGCTACTGCATTTCCAAAAAGTATTAAATTAAATGATGGCTATTAAATATAAAAGTCAGCTGTTACCAAATGAATCAATAATAATTCAGACCATCTTAGATCTGGTCAACCAGTCTTTCATACTCTATAAATCATTAACATCAGAGCATCTCTCGGATCATTCGCAACCACAGAAAGATGTACTTTAATGACAATTGTAATTAGTATGTTAGCTAATGGTCTGTAACTCTGACTTTATTCCCCTTGTTTTGCATGGAAAAGGGCATTTCTTTCCAGTAATGCATTAAAACAAATGTCCTGAATGAAGAATGACCTTCCAAATAGGCTTCTTTAAGATCTGAAAGATGAAATCTTACTGCTATTGATATTAATGGGAATTTTACTGCTAACTACATATGGATGAGATTTCACCCAAAACATCCCCCCACTGCAATCCATTCCTTTTACCTCAAAACCTTCATGATGTAGCCCAAGTTCAAGGTTTGTTAATTCACTTTCATTTCACATTTTATAAGTCTGACATAATGGACCAAATTTGTCTTCAGTGAAACTCCAATTAAATTGCATTATGTATGAGTTCAGTCTAGTACTTAAAAAGAAAATTAACCTTTAGTTCACACCTTCCTTGTTTCTCAAGGAAGAAAAAAAAAATTAGCATGGTGACACTGCAACAATAAAATTATTTTTAAATTTGCTGCACTTCCAGAATCTTTCTGGTTTTTTTCCTTGTTTGCTTTACAAAAATGTCTGTTACTTTAAAGCAAATATATAATTAAGATTGGTCTTAACTATAAGCTTTAAAGTTAACGGTATAGCTGTCACTGGCTTCTGTATTGTACTCTACATTTATTAGCATGAAATTTTTATGTTGCAATAAAAACAGAAGCTCTTACTTGCAGAGCCAGTCTCAAAGTATAATAATCATCTCCTGACAGTTCTGGTACCTTTTGCAGAAGTTTATGCTTCAGGAGTACTCCAAAAGGACTTTTATATAAAAAGAAAACTAAGGCAGCGAGCTTCTCATTGACTAAACCAACCAAACAAAAAAAAAACATATGGAGGAATTTTAGAGAAAGACAAAGACATTTCTTGCTTTGAAAAGAAAAAAAATTATGAAAAGACATTTCCTGAGATATCTGAATTTAGAGATCTTCATGCAGTGCTGAAATTAAGAATGTACATAAAAAGTAATTCAATTTATTTTTAATGCTGATGTGAAACTCTCAGCAAAGTTCACAGGATTTTGCTCATGTTTCTGATTTATTTCTTGTTTACAGAACTTCTTTGCATTCCCTGAATTTATATTTTTATGGCCTGTGAGATAACATAATGCAGTAGTTACAAGGATTCCTTTTTTTTTTTCTTTTTATATTAATTTCTTTGGTCTATTCTCCCTACAGCACATTCACTGAAAATATTATAAATATACTGCAAAAATATTTCATTGGAAGGATTTCAAATATAAACACATATTCTGTCATGGAATCATGCTGAGTCTGAGAGCGACAGCTGCACCTGGTGTATTCACTCCCCCCCCACACACACTCCAACCCACAGCGTTATTAAACAGTAATTCTTTTATGTAAAAACCTGGAAAATCATTTCTGGCAATAAAAATGAAAGATGACTGAAAAAGATAATCAGGAGCTACAGTTTTTCTTGGGGAACGGTGGCATTTAGGAATCATCCTTCCTAATCTAAACATCAGGATGAAGAAGCAGCCAACAGTGCAATATTGCTGTTGAATATTCAGGCATTCTCTGCCTCACAGGAAGCACACGCTGCAGATCCTGCCACGGTTCCAGCATTTGCAGTTACCACTTTGCAGTGGGGTCACTGTTCACAAAGAGCCTAATCCAGACCCTCAGACATCAGCGGGAATCCCTCATTTTACTTCACAGAGTTTTAGACCAGACTTGTAGCTCTCTCGCCACATGAATTAATTTCTTCACCACTGCAAGTCCATCACTGTGAGGCTCAAGTGCTTGCAGAACAAGGGCACAGGTTCATCCTGCTGCCACACACAGCCTATTCCCTGGCCCAGTGGCACGTGCTGTCACCATGTTGGGCACAGCATGCCCAGGTATCCTTACCAAACCCTCATCATTTACTGTTTGTACTGGGGGTATTGAATACCACTGTTTCTCACTGTGCTCCAATCCAAGAAATTAGAGATGATTTTTTTCAGATATAGATCAGAGGAAAACTTAATCATCCATTGCTCCAAGGTCAAACACCATTCATCAAATCATCAATATAATAAAACTTCCTTTCTCTTAGTACAATTTTATTTGATGGTGCCAAGTTTGTAAATGCATGTCCACAGACTACAGCAGCCTTCATTTCACAGGTCCTTCAAGGACCCAGCTGTTAGCTGATCACCTCACAACAGCAAAAGTTTTAGTACTTTTGCATTGTTTTGAGGAGGTAAAGTATTCCATCAAAAGCCCATTAAAATACACTTCTCTCAGTGGGATATGTACCATGATATTGAAGTATTTGAACAAATACCACAAGTACCAAAACCGCAACAAGAGACTCATTGATGGATATTTTGCCTTTAATAGCACTCTTTTTTTTTTTTTTTTTTAATACAAGAATGTTTTATGATAAACTTTTACAGGCTGAGAAAGTTGGGGTTGTTCAGCCTCTTCAGGCTCTGGAAAGACCAAACAGCAGCCTTCCAGTACCTAAAAGGTGTTACAAGAGAGCTGGACAGAGAACTTTGACAAGGGCATGTAGTGACAGGACAAGGGGTAATGGCTTTAAACTGACAGAGGAGAGATTTCAATTAGATATAAAGAAGGAATTCTTTACGCGACAGCGGCGAGACAGTTCTCCAGAGAAGTTGTATATGCCCCATCCCTGGAAGTGTTCAAGGCCAGGTTGGGTGGGACTTTAAGTGACCTGGTCTAGTGGAAGATGACCCTGCCCATGGCAAGACAGTGGGAGTTAGATGATCTTTCAGCCCAAACCACTCTGTGATTGTGTATTACCAGTTTCTAACACATGCTGACATAGTAACTTCACATTACCAGACACTGATAGAGAAGGTATGGAAGATGTTTTCAATCTCTTAAAACTGTGTGAATTGCTCATGTAAACTTCAGGAGAAAAAAGTTCAAATTCACAAAAATTCAGAAATTATATCACAAGGATATATGGTTTAGGTTAAATTAAAAAAGAAAATTGCAGCAGCTCATTTTGAATGTTACTGTATTCACACCGCAGGATCTCTCTTACCCTGAGACGATACTTCATTTCTGAATCAACTGGTCTTCCTGCTTCCATGCAGGCTGTAAACCAGGAGATATCCAGTAGTTCAAACCTGGAGCTGTCACCCACAGCCTGTCCTTTCAGCCACTCCAGCACCTCCAAGTAAGAGTTGTTCTCAGCCACAATATGAGTGACAGAGTCACTGTCAGGAAGCACACAAAAATATTTCTTTTTTTTCCTGAATCCAACGGTACACAGATACAGAGCTGTTATTTCCATATTTACTTACCATCTACTTCCTGAAAATTGTAGTATATATTGTATGTTAGGATGTGGGAAGCAGTTATGTTTTCATATCACCATAAATCTATTCCAGTCACTGACTCTGTTTTGAGGAAAGACTATAGTCTGACAGCTTCTGTAAGTGCAACATTTTCTTTCTTTCAGCATCATTTACCTTCCATAAGGCACTATCCTAATGCACATTCTTTGCAACTCTGAAAATATTTAGCTTGCACAAGCAGTACCATAATGAAAAGGCTGCTTGATGATACCTGACAGCCCCTTCCCAATATTTCTCATCAGTGAGTGAAAGCTTTGCAATATTAAGTTTGTTAATGATAATTATTTAAAGCTTTAAAGCAAGTAATATATTTCTGAATATTTAAGTTTTCTGTACTTACATGAAGCTCTTTACATATGGCACTGTCAAATGTTCATTAATTAAATCTTATGAATAACATGCTCCACCTAAACACCACTTCCTTGCTGCCAAGCCTCTTACAAAACTGATAGTTTAGTAAATACAACATTTGCAACTTCAGTTGTTGTTCAATAGACTATATGGTGTACATTGCCTAAAAGTATGGTAGCACAAAGGTTATTGAAGTAAATATGGGTTGGTGTACTAGAATAACACTGGAAAGGATCACATGATTAAAAAGACACACTTCTGTACCTGTCACAGGAAAATAATGGACAGGGACAAAGTTATGTTTCAGAAAAAGATTACATACATACTTGGCATGATCTGTAATCTTTTATCTGGCCTACTGATATTTCTCAGCAATTTTAGAAAACTACTAACTTGACAGGAAATTTTGAATGATTCTGAATGTTCCCTCTCCCCACACATCCCATGAGGGTGCTGTCACACAGAAAGCCAGCAGAGATAATGTAGAAAATTCTTTATTTTCAAGGAATTTGTAGGACCTCAGTATCTCTGAAGTATATGTCAACATTAACTTCTATCATTCAACAGATTCCTAAACTTCTTGGGGGAAAGGCACAGACAGATAGTGCCACTATTTGACACTATTTTTATAGAAGTAAAGTTAGAATTGTAACATAAATTATTTTGATGGCAGCCACCTCCATTTGCAAGCCTCTGTGACCTCCTGCTAGCCCATGTTGGTGACAGCCTTGTGCATATACAGTAAATTTCAAACAGAGCTGACAAATTGCTTTGCAACCCCTCTGTAACACCTGGAGAAGTTAAGCCATCAACCCGTCCAAGCAGACAGGGCACCACTGGTAGAGACAGCTGGTTAGCAAGAGTTCAAAAATTATGTGTGCTGTTAAAGGCAGACTGCACAACCTTTCAAAGCAAAGTACTTTCCAGAAGACCAATAATAAAAAAAAACCCAACCCTGTGACCCTTGTTCAAGCAAATAATCACTGAATTCATCAAGTCATGAAAGCAAAATGAAAAGTACTGGAATCATTCCACAGAAAACTGTTATCAAATAACTCTTTGATGCAATAAACATACTATTTTTTGGAAATATAAGAAAGGTACTGAACGTACTATACTTCAGAAACATGAAAATTGTCATGATATAGCACAGTTTTTTTCTGTCCACATAGTGGAATGCGAAGAGCAGAGTTCATTGAAAAAGAATAAATCCCAATTTATTTTATTCTAAAAGATTCCAAATGTAAATAAAGTGAATCTCCATTAAATACTGCTTGGTTTATTATTATTTAACCCTGCTAAGTCCTACTTTAATTAAACTGTCACATCTTTACTTGAGTAAAAAAAAAACCCAACACAAAAAACAGTTAGAGACATAGAACTTCTGCTTCCTGTGGTTTATTTCACTTCATATAAAATATTCATATGTAATGTATTTGTAGCAAGCTGCAGATCTGGGAACTTTGCCATCACTATCCTCACAGCAGCAGTTTAGCTTCTGTGCACCAGTTTCCTCTGGTACCTGTACAGCTGTGCTTTTTTCTTGGCACAGAGCATAACAAATTTAACATTTCCTCTGGCATTTTCAAAGCCAAAAATCAACAGTTAAATACTTCTGTTTTATCCAGTAGCAGCTAAGATGAAATTAAATATAACACCTGCTCATGCAACTTACAGAAGTCTGAAATATTGACAATAAATATCTGTGTGTCAAAGCAGCCCAGATAAAGCCTCTGTTCAGTCCTCAAGAGATTGTTAATGTGGGATTCAGAACAGCACACTTTATTTTTTTTCCCCAAGAATCCAATTAGTTTTGTATCAGATGCTAATTGCCTTCTTCTGTTCAATACCTACTTGAATCTTGCTTTACAAATTATTTTATCCTCCCTTCTTTCTCAGGCTTTCAAAGTTGGTGAGATTGAAAAAAATCAGTGGAAATGAGCTTTTATAGGGAGGATCCAGTTGTATACTATCTTGATACAGATACACGATCAATATTTGGTTTTCCTTCAGCTACACAGAAATGTAGATTTGGAAAACTGTATAATGATATAACTAGCACTCATGTAAACCTCTGTTTGGATGAAGGCTTCCTTCAGAATGAGTTGGATTATTGAAACACCACCAGACAAATCTGCAGGTGGAGTATATTTTCACTCTAAAATGCTCCATCTGTCATATTTTACTCCTAAGCTTTTTTTCTCCAGTGCTCTTCCAAATTGTACCACAGTGTAAGCCAGTAACATTGAGATTCACATCAGGGTACTGCAAAAAGATTAAATACTATAATATCAGTCAATGACGTAAAGAAATACCCACCTCAACCCATCACATTGTCCATTCCTGTATATTCAGGGTTTTTTTTGTTTTAGAAATTGACCACGAAGTTTAGATTAATTTTAACCTGAATTCAAGGGGGACATAAACAATGGCTGATTTACACGAGCTTAAGATGTGGTTCATATGCAGAAGCATTAAAATTGACAGACTTAAGAGAAATTAGAACCACAGATTTTAAAAGCAAAAATCAGAAATTTTGCTGAGGTTTGTGCTCTCCCTGCTCTCTGCTCAGAAGACAGCAGAAATGAACCACACACTAGGAACAGCCATTGAAATCCTAAAGCATCTTTATAGTGGGAAGAGTAAAGTATATCCACCAAACACATAGGCAAATACTTCAATTACAGTCACGTGTATGACTGCATTTATTAAATTAGAATGCTCCAAACAGCATTGTTATTTCAAAACACACAAACATTTTCCTACCTTAGCTCATTTTCTACTCTGAAACCTTTTCTTCTTGCCAGCTCTGTCAAAAACATCCTTCTGGTTATCCCCATCTTCCTCTGCATAATAAAAATTACAAACTTAGTAAATTTTATTTCATAACTGCAGGAAAGTTTTGGGGAATGTAACCCCTTCTGTCTCTTCCTGTGGGAGATTACACCTGAAGCTTTGATTTTATCCATGATGCAAAGGTAGAAGTGCTTTCACTTGGGTTAAATGGAGATAACATGCTTTCTGCCAGGCAGCAGCTGTATTTAATGTCACCACCCATTGAAGTAATTTTCTTGTTTTCCTTCTGAAATCAAAAACAGGTGCTACACAAGCAGAAACATCACTTGATCTCTACCAGCTGGGACTTCTTGCACAGGAATACTCCAGACAGGTGCAAAAAATGCTTTCATTCCTTTAAACAGCCATTGCCTATAAAGACTTTATCCAAATAATATTGATAATAGTAAAATTATTTCAAAACATCAACCAGGTCTTCAGCTGTTTTAATGGTCCAGTTCCATCAATTTCTACTTTCAAATCTTTTCCAAATCTCCCTTTTCCATATCACAGAGCACATTAATTCACTAAATTACATTCCATTTACTAGGAAAAAAATTTGCCTATTTTTAGCCAGGAACTATATTTTAGAATACAACCAAATAACAGTATACAAATATGTTGTAGAATAGCCCACACACTAGCTACTTCTGTGTAATTAACTGGATTAAAAAGGAATCTTATTTTACGAGAGCAAAGGAAAAATAGCTTTTGAAATTAAATTTACAATAAACCAAGTCCTTTTCTGTTTTGTTATTAAAGCAACAAAAGAAAAATCATTAGAGATGTGTTTAAATGCACTTTTACCACACATTGCCAATATTGCTCTCTACTTTTACCCTGCAATGCACTGCTATCTGTGGCAGTTACAGAAGTGAAACATAACTACCTTTTTGCTTTTAAGCACCCAGTGACCTAAAAACAGCTACAGAGGAGATGATGGAGGCTATGTACCATCCTGGCCTAGGTTATGGGGTATTGCTCACCACAGAACTACACTAAAGTTTGTTGCCAACGTTGTGTTGGATCCAGTTAGGTATGTCCCCGAATTTCTGTTAGAGCAAGGTGAGCACAAACAACCAGGTTTACAGCATGTGCATCTATTTCAGCACAAATCTACTTCAGTGGTAAATATCCCCCTTCCCATGTCAAGATTGATTTTTATTTTTAGTGCAGCAGAGAATTTGGATTTTATCAGTCCTTCAGAACACGTCAGAAATGTTATATCTTACAATTCTCATTGCTCATGTCCAGGAAGCAAGGTGGAAAAATCCCTGCCTAAGTCAGATCTATCAATTTTATTTTCAGTCATTTTATCACAGATGGATATAGAACCTGAGTTTCAGGAAAATGAGTCAAAACCTGTTTCCTGCAATTATGGCCATGAGTTTAAAATTAAATTATAAAAGTATTACTGACATTTTCCAAGCCCTATAGCTCTTACTGCTTCAACTGTATTATTGCAGATATAAAGAAACCTGTTTCATCAAAATAGAAACTAACCATCAAAAATTAATATAGAGCTTTCAGTTCTGGGGTCTTCCTGAGGGCATGAAGAAAATATATACACAGTGCAGTATATAGATTAGACTCCATTCATTTCTTCCCTTGCCTAAGGATAACCCAGAAGCCAATATATCTATTCCTCTTTCGAATTCATAACATTAAAATTGTCAAAATAAATCATTTCAAGGTTATTTTGAAATTATATGAGATATTTTCATAGGAACTGGAAAATGGACAAGCAGACTTTAAGAGGCTTAAGCAAAAAAATAGCAGTAAGGAAGAAAAAAATTAATAGTGATGGATCTAGCATTAAGGCTGAGCAATCTGTTTTGGTTGTTCCACGTCTTTTTTCCAGACTTCTTATCAACTACTGAATACTGGTCACTTCCCTGTTTAGAGCTTTCCTAGTCTTGGTGAAACACTTTTATCTCAAGCCCTACGAGGAATAATGCATTTGAGAGCAGATTCTTTACATATGTTAAACAAAGTTTTATTTTATGTTATGATTAATTCAGTGCTCTAAAACATGTAAATATAATTTTCCCCCGTGTAACATCAATATGCTCAGTGCCAGTAAAATCCTTCTGGCATGAATAACAAGTTATTATTCCTCTGTGTTACTGTTATAAGTCTTAAATCAGATTTTCAAGAGTATTTAGGTGCCAAAAAGCTGCAAACAGAGACCTAGTGGGATTTTCAAAATATCTAAGCAACCTAGGCACTCGGCTCCTTTGGAAATCAATTTCTGGCTTTGAACCTACTGCAAAGAGATTTTCTCTAATAAACACAGTATAATATCATGGAAAAGTCTCTTCCAATGATGCAATTTTATTAAGTGTACCTTCTAAAATTAACAGGATTTCCACATCCCAGGTGAGTGAATATCCTACTCTCCTGCATTACATTATAATATTTTTGACATACCAAAGAAAGCAGAATATGCATCAGGGAGAGAGCAAATACAGCAGAGAAAAAGCATCTCTCTTATTTATGACAAAGGAAAAGTATCCTCTTGTCTGAGTCATGACACCACATATGATTAGTGGCCTAAAACCACAGAAACTTGCAGAAATGTTTCCATCTCGTTACAATCTCCTGGAGTTCAGAGTATTTCACATCCCTCAAGAGGAATACAGAACAGTTTCATGTTCTTGCTGCAGATCAGTTTTGCACACTATCAAAGGCAAAGATTAAGAATGAGATGTACACAAATATTGATGGCCATTTAAGTAGACACCTTCCATCGCTTGTGATGTTGATGCCAACAACAGCATCCCCAACCATCCTCAAACAGTGTCTTGTACCTCAGCCTGAAGCCAGAGTACTGATCCAGCTTCAAAGGGGGTTCTTTGGGAAGAAAAGTGCAGGAACACACAATTTCTGGAAAGCACAGTTCGGATCGTCTGAATTTCAGCATTCACATATGCTTTCACTGCACCTTCTTGATTACTGTCAGACAGTCTTTTAGTGCCCTGCTTTCAAGTGAACTGCATTGTAAATATTTTATAAAATGTTACTTGACAATTTCACGTAGCTTTCATGTGAGGAATGGTGAAAGGTGCTTTTAATACACAGCTGCAGTCTGCTAACCTTCAGAGAAAGCATCTCTCAGGTACCACCAATAAAAATCAGAGAAGTGATTGCTGGAATACTTTTTTATTTCACATAAATAACAGCCTCTCACACAGTATTGTTTCACAATGATTACTCTTTCTTCACCTTTTTATTTTAAAAATGTACTATTTTAGCACTTTCCAATTAACAATTTCATGGAAATTTTTTTATCCTTCTGACAATTGTTTTTGTCCAGATATTTCCATGACTTTACTTTTGTTTAAATTCTGGATTTCTTGGATGCTAAGCATTCCCTTTGCTGTTTATACCTGTCCTAACAATCTCTGAATGCATAAAACTCCTATGGGAAATGTTTTTCCTGATTTAAAAAATTAATTCTCTCACATCTCCTTTTATAGTTTCAAGCTGTGGTAGGGGAGGTTCATTTTGGACATTAGGAGGAATTTCATCTCAGAAAGGGTGATTAAACATTGGAAAGGACTGCCCAGGGAGGTGGTGGAGTCGCTGTCCCTGGAGATGTTTAAAAAAGACTGGACATGACACTTAGTACCATGGACCAGTTGACCAGGTGGTGTTCAGTCAAAGATTGGGCTCAATCTCTGAGGTCTTTTCCAGTCTAATTGATTCTGTAGTATTTATATTCTTTGAACTACTAGAACATTTTCAGGGGACAACTCTGAGGTATGCGTACTTGAATTATTCACATCAAAGATGATAAAATCCATAAGATGGCCAGATGACCAAGAATTTTGAAAAGCTGATTAAATGATAATATGCTTTGAATGTACTTACTTGGCTTTATGATGGTAGCTGGCATGTAAGATACAGCAGACTTAGAGAGGACACAAAACTTTTTATTTGCTGTCATCGATGTACAATATTTCTCATGTATATGGTCAGAATAGCTGCTTATTATCTTTTCTGGTTTTTTAATCCCTAATTGGAGATGAAAACCTGAATAAAAAGAATTTATTTAGCAACATCTCTCAAATCAGACCAAGAGCTGACAGCTTGTTTAATTTACTGCATACACAGATATTCTAGAAAGAGTTTGTTCTTCTAAGCCCTTTCTGAGGAAACTTGGGAAGAGCAATGTCACAATGCTGAATAATCAAGTAGAGCAAAAGGGTTCTTCCATACAGCATGGGGAAAACTAATTGGTAACAAATCCTGGCAGGAGCTACTTCCTCACATCAATATGCCTATATTCCCTAGAAACTATTATTTTCACTCTTCCTCCAGTCTCTCTGTTCATTAACAAGGTTTACAATTGCTCTCTTTAGTTACTCTGCTTATGGTAGCTGCTGCTCCTTGTTGTGATTGTTATTGGAATATTCTTTGATTTTTTTTTGTGCTGGTACATCAATGGTTTTCTTTATACTGTAGTCTCATGAGAGCCCCATGAACCTTTCAGCAACAAGCAGAGACATATCTGCATAATCCCATCAATATACATGGTCCAGCAGGTCATTTGACAGTTATGCATCTCTCCCAAACATAATTTACAAAGATAAATCTGTCTCCATATTGAGCACCATTTATTTAGACAGTCACATTTATCTCATTGCTAGTATTAAAGACATTTCCATGAATTAAGAAATACCAAACAACCTTCCAGAGAGAAGCTACACAAATGGGGTCGTATGATCCATATTCAGGCACCTGTAAAGATTATTTACCTCAACAATGACCCAGTAAAGTTTCTGTGAGCATTTCAGAAACTTCTTATATAACCATATAATACTAGAAATTAATACAGTTATAATAAAAATTCTTATCTTTCATTATCTTATAAAGAAGCCTTATGTCCTCCCCTGCTCCTCTAGTAGGACACATATAAATTGTTTGTGTCTTTTTTAATTAGTTATGATAGTTACTAGGTGGTAGAATTGATGCACCTTGCAGTAACACTGCAGCATTTCTAGACCTATTTACACCACAGAATATACAAACGGGAGAATGTGAGAATGCATTTAATAAAGGTAGATGTAATTAAACCAAAATATTGGAAACTGGGAAAAGGCTATTGCTGTCATTCACAATAAGGCTACTG